GAGAAGTGGCCGAGAATGCCGACCACAGCGAACGTCATGCCAGCGAAGTAGCAGTAGGTGTCGCCCACGAACACCCGGGCCGGGTACCAGTTATGCCTCAGGAGGGCCGCCGTCACGGCCACGAACGGCACCATGAAGTGCAAGGAGAACAGGTGGCACTGCCACTGGTCGGACGCCACGAACTCCACCACGTTGTAGGCGATGATGGACAGGGCGATCACCAGTCCCTGGCCGGCCTCTATGCCGTTAATGCCGGCCACGATGTTGATGGCGTTCGTGCAGAACACGGCCAACATTCCCAGGTATAGATAGTACAGGGGACCCAACCATAGGCTGTAGCCGAGGAGGTGACGCAAGGGGTTGGGCACCACTACTGTCGTGTTGTTATACGTCACGCCGTACACCATGAGCAGGGGTAGGGTGGCGATGGTGGGCAGCAGTAGTTTCGTACGCCATCGCAGGTCCAGCACGTCGTCCGCGAAGCCCAAGAATATCATACAACAGATGGACAGCAGAGCGCATATGAATTGCGCGAACTGTGGGGCACAGGGATCGAGACATTGGGGGATCAGTTGGCGGTGACAACAATAAGAGGGGTCAATGCGTGTCTGTATGTGTCAATGGGTTTACCACTTCGTGCCGAAAGTCCTCAAGAGTGAAGAGCCACTCGTGGCCGAGAGGTTGCGATGAGGCGGCGAACGGCACGGGTATGAAGAGGAACATCACCACCAGATACACGCAGCCGGCGATCACGCCCTGAGACTCGGCCCTAAAGGAACGTATGGAGACATTAGCGGATCAGTTGTCCGGTGATAATACGGGCGCTCAATGGCGTGCAAAACAAACACTTTTTTCTCTTTGTCTGGTTTGCAGAGATCGATGCCGAAGAGGTTGGCTCTGATGAACACCGGCCGGGCCTGCGGTATGGCCTTCAGCGTGGCGTAAAAGGCGGCCCAAGACATCATGGCGTTCACCACTATCTGCAACAGTATATCCATTGTCTGTGCGGCGGATCAGTTCACGCGGAGGACATCCGGTGTCGAGACATACGTCTTGTTTTCAAATGTCAACAAAAAACACAATAATTTTGTCGTAAAACAAGTCATCACTT